CTCGGGGACCCGCAGATCCTGGGACGGGGCTGTAAGGCTGGCTCGGTCCCTGGGTGCAGCAGAGGACGTAGCCCAAGCACGGAGGATACTGGGGCTCTGTTCTCGCGTGCGAACCCGCCGTGCAGGGAGCGGCAGAGCCGTGGGCTCCTCTGCCAAGGCAGCTGTTTGAGTTGGCGCCGGGGGCCCGGGCACAGCCAGCCCGAGGAGCGGGCCCTGCGCGGGAGGGGCCCGGCTGCGAGATGGACGCTCAGGCTTCCTCTTCTCCCCGCAGCTCGGTTCCTCTCTGCTTGTGCTGCTTCTCCAAGTCAGCAGAACTGCTGGCTTTTCGCCTAAGGATCAGTGGCATTGGTTGAGACAATGAAATAATAACCACATGGCCACTCCTCTGTCACTTAAGCAGAGAAAAAGTGGTTAAAAACCTTGGCCCAGCCCATCTGGCTGCCTAGTCCTGGAGCTGGTTCACTTTCCACACCTGCATTTGCTTCCCTTTAAAGAACGTCTTTTACAGAAAATGTTCTTTTCTCACAGAGTCTAGCAACAACTAGCAGGTTTTTGTCAGAAATTGACCATTTGAGACATTTTATTTCTATTTAAAAAAAAAAAAAAATCAAAATTTTCTCTGGAAAACTAAGCATATGCTTTCTGCAAGTGAAAAACAGCTTTTAGCTGAAAATCATAATTCTCATCTTAAAAAGTGTTTTAGTGGCAAACTTTCAAGGGAGGCTACTGACAGTGTCCAACTTGTCCTGCAGCGACCGCGGTGGACTGCGTGTCCCCGGTGAGGGTCCCCGGCCAGGGTGCTGAGGGCAGGGCTGCAGCGCAGGTGCTGAGTCAGTGCATGACCGCTGGGCTCCCACGAACGGCAGCAACGTTGGCGGCTGCAGCCAAGAGCCCTTCCCCTCCACAAACTTATCTGGCTCTTGGACATCTCCGAGCGTTGGGGGGAAATGGGCACCAGCGTCCCCCCCGAAGCAGTTCATGCACCAGCCGAAACCCTGCTCATGCTCCCAGCCTCGGCTCGGCCCTGGATGAAGCTGAGGGCCAGCGAGTTGTGCTCGCGGTGAGAGCCGTTTGCTGTAACGAACGGGTGTTTCCATGGCTGCTCCTCCAGCTGTGCCCATGGCCAGGGGCCCAGAGTGGTGCCCCCAGGCTTGCCATGACCCCGGTAGCTCAGAATGCCACTGGGTTTATTGCAGGGGACGAGTCACATCCACGTGCTCCAGCGTGAGCCCTCCTGGCACACGCACATCTCGGTCCTGACAGAGCTCTGTCTGTCGCTGGTCTAGTCGCACCATCTTTAATTTCTGCAGACTTTTCCTGTCCTAAATTACTCCATGCACAAATGGCTGAGGGCCGTGGAGGTGTGTAAGTCTGTCCCTCTCCCCACAGAGGCCGAAGGACGGAGCGGAAAGAGCCCCTGCTGCTGCCCGTGGAGCAGGGCACCCAGCGAGCAGCCTGGGCTCCCGTCCCAACCACCAAACCCTCGAACGCCGCGCTCAGCCGCCGCAGCCCCGGCTTCCCTGCCCGGGAGAGCAGCAGTGCCACCCCCGCGCAGCGCCCACCCTCCAGCCTGCAACAGCGAAGAAAGAACTGCACACTGAAGGGGAATCCTGCTTTGTTTACAGGTTGCTTTTATTTACAAATATACTGAAGTGTAATCTCTCTCTTTTTTTTTGTTTTTCTCTTTTTGTTTAGAGTGTGTGAGTGTGTGTGTGTGTGTGTGCATGTGCACACGGGAAGGAGCATAATGTATGAGAAACTCATGTGTCTTAGCTGCCAGGCAATAGTGGCAGGAAAAAAAAAATGCAGTGAAATGAAATTTAAAAACACTAATAAATAATTTAACAATGACAAGTAATTAAATAAAAAAAAAAATCCGATCTACATACATTATGGTGGTTTGTTACCAACACAGAGGGAAAGGAGCAGAGAATCTACGGTGAAAGGCAGCTGGTTAAGTATGAGAGAGCATAGTCGTATTTTTTACAAGTTAAACAAATTGTAACAGACAGCTACAAAATACTACATTTCGATAACATAAATACAGAATATATAAATATACAAGTAATACAGCCATACACAGCTAAAAAATAGGGTGTTCACTTAAAAACAGAGTTCCCAATGCAAAGGATCTGGCAGTCCCTTCACAGTCACTGCTGGGCAGAAGCGGGGTGTGCAGAGCCGAGGGCACTTGCCGGTTTATTCAGACCGGCCTCAAGCGAGCAAGACCGTGCTTAAATGCCACCAAAGCCAAAGGACTTTGGGCACCTGCCAAGAGCGAGCAAGTGCCCCAGCGCCCCGCAGGGGATGGAGCCCCGGCCCCGCGCCCAGGGGTGGGCTGGGAGGGAGCCTCTGCTGCCCAGGAACGGGCCGTGGCTTGGGCACAGGCTGCGTAAAGCACCTTCCCGAGCCCTTGGGACTTTAGTATTGTGGCTCCAGCTCCCACGACCTTGATGTGCCTCTCTGTCCTTTCACTGTTGTGACCAAGCTCCAGGCTTGCAGGAACCCTTCCCTTCCTCCTGGAGTCTGCCGTTAATTTCTAGTGACTTTGGGGGACAACCAGAATTATTATGACACGGCTCAAAGAGGTGCTCTCGCCAACCCCAGCCTGCAGCATCCCAGAGACGGGGTCCCTGGGGCACCGGGGCGGTGGCTTGGGATGTACTTGTGATCCTTAAGGAAACTGGAAGGGAATCCTGAGCAGAGTAGGAAGAGGTAAGTGGGTTCACATCATCCCTGGAAGGTTCACCAGCACGAAGGACCTTCCCCATGCCATGAGGGCGCAGCGAGGCGGCAGAGTTGCTGCTGACAGTGGCAGCGGCCCCTCCAAAGGAGCTGGTGCTGCTCACCCGGCCGGAGCAGGGTGGCTCTGACAATTCCATCAGCAGCCATCGTGAGAGTAACGTGAGTCACATCTCGGGCACGGTTAGCAGCAACTGAGCCAAGCGATCTGGATTGTTTGGTGACAGTTTAAAGAAGAAAAGGAGATCAGCACACCTGGAAGGGTCTTTCAATCTCAGTGATTGCAACCACTGCACTTTACTTACAGCAACAAAATTGCCTTCCATGTCCTGACTGTGAAACACGTTTACACCAGCCCCTGACTGCTTACGACAAGGGTCTGGTGCAGAGTGTGGTGGGAAACAGGGGGCTGAGGGCCGCAGCGAGTGGCAGGAATCGTCCCCCCGACAGTCACCCCGCAACACAAACGCTGCCCTGCCCGGGGCCCTCGGGACACCGGGCAGCCTGGGACGGACCCGGCCACGGCTCAGCACACACCTCTGAGGAAGCCAGCACCTACCATATTCATTCTGATCTCACAACCATCTTTTTTAAACATTATTGAGCAAACACTGAAGCCTAATCAATCATCTTTTACTTAATTGCATCTTGTCACCACTTCAGCTTAACATGTACTCCTTGCTTAGCCAAAACATGATTGAAACACCGTGAAGAGCTCACTTGATGCATTTATATTAGAGAGGGGTTAATTTCCTGGGGAAAATGATCACTGTAAGGTGCATGTAATAAACTGCTGTCATGACCTCTAGCCTTCAAACTCCCATATGTGCAATCATTGTTTGTGGTTTCCGTGGAAGTGCCAGATGCTAAGAATTTTTGGCAAGAGTTTATCAATTTGACTCAGTGTAAGATATTACTGTGATATGGCCCATTAAACATTTTACTTTCACCTGATTGGTGACATTCCCTTGACAATAGAAGAGTAAAGCAGAAATCAAAAAGGTCAGAGGTTGCTATATAATCTTTTACTGCAGGTCCCAGGTTAAAACCACAATGATCACACTCCAGTAGGGTAATTCATTCCACAAAAAAAAGTGACATTTATTTTGCTTTAATGAACTTTGGCCTTTGCCAGATATAACGGGTCCACTGGAAACCATTGGCTGTGCATTCCTTCCCTTGACCAGCAGCAACCCACCGTGGCTTGGGAAACGTTCCGCATGCCAGAGGGCCTGTGTCACGCACGTGGCACCAGCGATGGTGGAACACGGCGGAACAAACAGCTAAGGCATCATCATACAACACACCGAGGGAAGAGGAGATGGTATGTACAAGCAATGAAAACAAAACAAAGGTGGCAAACAGTCATCCGAAAAATCAGCAAAAGATTATGCTTACTTCAGTTACAACACGGGATATCTGATTCTTTCCTTGGAAATTATTTCCTTGGAAATGGATTGTTCTTTCAACATCCAGCCCAGAAGCAGAGGTAGAGTTGGGACAAGGCAGTTCTCCAAACTGTAGGTCACATTATAGTTCTCATATAAGTCCCTGTAAACACTAAAAATGCCATTTTATAAATGAGGGATGAAGCAAGGTTGTGCCTATGTGTAGAGTCTATAAACCCGGTACATTTGAGACGGTGAAAATGCTTTTCTGTGACTCTAAAGTAGCACAACAGAAGGGCGGGGAGGAAACCTTGATGGATCCATTGAGATCGGTAGTGAGAAATGTTTCTAATGTGCCATATGAGATCTGCTTGCCTTCTGCCCTGCAAGCAGTGAGGATCACCTGAGTTCTTTATAGACGTTTGCTATCGTGCAGAGAGAAAGGAAATTGTTATTTATTTTGATACACAAGGAAAGGGAAAAATAATTGAAGGGGATGGGTGAGAAAAGAAAATTCTTCCAATTTCAAAACATGTCCAGGGGCTCACAACCTTTAACGGAAATCCCATCCCTGTCAGCGAGAGCAGGGTCACTAGCAAAAGCACACGGGTGCCACAGACCCACGTCCCGGGCACGGCCGCCGCCGCAGAGGGGGCGGGACCCGCAGGGAGGGCAGTGGCGCCCGGCACCCCCGTCGGTCCCTTGGCTCTGCCACCGCCAGCAGCAACCTCTTCCCTTCTCTCTCCTCATCCAACTCCAGGCTCTCCTCCGACACTTTCTTGCGCTTCCCACCACGAAGCACAGAGTAAGCCAC